GTATGTGGTGCTGTAGCATATCGACAGCAAATGCAGTCAATTTCAAGGTCCACAGGCTTGATGAAGAACAGGGAAGATGGGTGGAGGTTAAGGATCTGGGGAATGACGCGTTCATTTTGGGGACGGATGGTTTCTCAGTTTCAAGCGCTGATGTTGAAGGTTCTGAAGGGAATTGCATATATTTTTCACATGACTTGAGATCAGACCTGGGGCGTGCGTTTGGCACTCATGTGTTCAATCTTGAGAAAGGGAGTATCCAGAAATCAGGTCTGCAGATTTTGAAGGCGTCCCCGATTTGGCTGGATTGGGAGCCATCTCTGCCTGCCTGATATCAGTTTCATCATCCATGAGACTTACAGATGAATAAGATCAATCAAGTTCACTGTAAGTTCACTTTCCAATTGGTTCTGTGTTTCAATTTAGGCATTTGGCTAGATCTTCTCATAAGTCATCCAACACTTTTGCTGGGTTTCAAATAGCTTCATGAATGGTGGTTCATGCTAGAACTAGAACGCACACTCAAAATGTTCTTCTTGTCTGCATGTAGGATTCTTTTGTTTTGTTTATTTTCTCATTGGATTGATGTAAAAATTGATGGATGTTCCATGACAGCCATTCAATTATGCAAACTCCGAGCAGAGTTGGTAGTAGGTAGGAGATAGAATCATCCATCGGAATGGTGGGTGGGTCAGGATTCAATGAATAAATTCATTATTCTTTCTACCTAGCCCAATGTTTTCGAAGAGTTACGATGGAATTGGTAAATAATTAAAGAGAGAAAGGGAAATAATAATAATAATAATAATAATAATTAAAGAGTATTTGCTACCTTATTCAAAATTCGCTGGGTTCGGTTGTACTTCTATCGTTTAAAATATTTTATTTTTATTGTTGACTTATAATATAAATCCAAATATGATCTAAGCAATTTTATTATTTGAACTAAAAAAGGATTATTATGTTAGATCCCATCTTCGACGATTTCTGCTAAGATTGTGGAAGTTTTTTTAAAAACGAAACTAACCCCTAAAGGAAAATTTGAAAATAAAAGAAAAATAAAAGTTTAAAGAAGAAACTTAAAAATAAAAGAAAATTCTAAACATTCTACGATCTATTTCCTTTTTCTCTTTCTCAATGATATTCTATGAGACTGTTCGAATCCTATTTTTTTTTTTTTTTTCTCTTTCTCAATGATAATTCTATAATCTATTTCCTATCTCTCTTTCTCAATAGAATAGATATTCTATGATCTATTTCCTATTTCTCAATGATATTACATGATCAAGACAATTGGTTAAATCCCGTTTGTTTTTTATGTGGAAAAATTTGCTTTCTATGTAGAAAATGTCTCAATAATTATGATTTTACCTATGAAAAATATGGAAAATTCTTCCTCAATATCTCAAAATATTTTCTTTGTGCCTTGGTTGAATGACAAGTGAGCTAACCAATTCGAGCTAAGCATGCTCGAGGCTCTTGCCGAAAACGAGGGTAGAGAGATTTTTGAACCAATTCAAGACGTATAAATGGACTACGTATGCTCGAGCCTCTTACCCCGGTTGAAAGAAATGTACATGCAAGCAAGAGAGTAACAACAACCTGAAAAGAAGAGTATATCTGTCAACGGGGGTTATCAAAACTTACCCTTAACAAAGTAACAACCGGTGCTCCTAGAGTCCAGTTAACAAGGTAAAAAACTCTCTCCCCTTTTAACAGATCTTATTAAAGAAAGACAAAATCTTCATGGGTATATTTGAATAAAACATAAAAGATGAAAAGTTTTGGAGTATTTTAAATAATTTACCTATAATAATAAAATAATAATAATAATAATAATTATCAATTCACCTATTTCTCCGTGATATCTTATTATTTTGAGATATAAACTATTTTTTAAAATACTTTTATATCTGGTTACCGTAATTCGAGTCGTCTTTCTGTTGGACGAAATTGATTCTTTCCCTCCGCCAGTCAAGCCTCCGCCATGGACGATAGCCGTGTACAGTGGTCCGATCTTCCTCCTGAAATTTTGCCGATCATCGGAAAAAGCTTGGAAACATACATCGACGTCCTTCGATTTCGCAGCGTCTGCCGATCTTGGCGTGCTTCCCTTCCTCCTTTCAACATCGTTTCTTCTCTTTTACCTCTCGATCTTCCTTCTCCAATCTTCACCGCCGATCATCTCACCGATGCCTTGCTCATCCGAAGGGTTATCTATCGCCTAAGTCCCCTCGATCATCAACACTCTTCCGATTCTGCTTCTTCTTCTTCTTTTGCGGCGGAGGGCTGGTTGGCGAAGGTCGAGAGTACAAAATTAGGTACAATGCGTTTTCTGCATCCGCTTTCTACACGCTATGTTAAATATGACAACGAGGTATTTCGGAAGGAAGTGAACTTGCTGGATTTTCGAATTTACGAAGTAGCTAAATCGTATACGCTTGGATATATTAATGGTGCTCTTGTTCCTCGAATTACTAAGGTTGTAATGTTCCCTGATTGCCCCTGGATCGATGTGAAGTACTGCACCATTGTAGCTGTTTACGCAGGTGGAAAATTAGGGTTTGCTAAACATGGAGATTACAAATGGACGCTGATTGACGACCGGAATTTTCACTACGACGATGTGATTGTGTACAAAGGGCAGTTTTATGCAGTTGATAGATGGGGAACAATTTTCTGGATTGATTCATCGATGAGATTGGTACAGTTTTCTCCTCCATTGTGTGGTTTTGGTAATCAGAAGCATTTTGTAGAGTCTGATGATGAACTTTATGTTGTGGATCGATTTCTGGATAAGGAGCCACTGTTATGGAATGCAGATATTTTCCATATCCATTGGTTGAATAACCTCATTGAAGATTCACCTCCTAAAGTAATTGATTTCAAAGTCCACAGGCTGGATCAAGAGTGGGGAAGATGGGTGGAGGTTAGAAATTTGGGGAATCAATCCTTTGTTTTGGGCAATGATTGTTGTTTTTCAGTTTCAGCCCCAAAATTTGAAGGAGTTAAAGGGAGCTGCATATATTTTACTCATGCACCAAGATCCACTCTCGGGTATAACACTCATTATTTCGAGCTCAAGTATAAAAGGATTGCCAAAGCGTCAATCCATGATAATGAACCAATTTTTGGTCCGCCCCCAATTTGGCTCAACTTGGAGGCCACTCAGTATGAAGAACATGCTTCTGATAATTTACATGTCTCAGCCTGCTAAGGATGCTGGATGAGATGCAAAAATGGAGTCCCAAGCTCATCAGTTGGCATTCTCGATACTGTAAGTTTTCTTCCTAACTATTTTGTGTTTATCCTGAATCTTAGTGTGGCTGTAAATTAATGGTGTCGTCAACGTGTCATTCTGAATCTTGGCTCTGTAGTCTGTAATAAGGTGTTCTTGGAATGTGTAAGTATGTTTTCTTAGAACATGGAGAACTCTCAAGCCCTTGGAAAACTTTCCTCTTTGATTTGATTCTCTCTTTACAGTCGTGCTTGCCTCCTGATCTTTGGAGGGTCATCCTTAAACGCCTAGAACCTACATCGACGTCTTCCGATGTTGCACCGTCTGCTGGTCATGGCGTTCTTCTCTTCCTCCGATCAACGCCTTTTCTCCTCTTCTTCTGCCTCTCCATGTCCCTCATCCTCCCAACGAATACGCAGAATACACAGATTATCGTAGCAATAAATTGCTATTCTGTTGGATGAAATCGGTTAATTTAGGAAATAATCATGGGTTTATAACGAGGAATACTATTTCCATTGGTATGAGGTCTTTTAGGGAAGTTAAAACAAAGCCACAAGAGTGAGGTCTTTTGGGGAAGCTAAAACAAAGCCACGAGAGCTTATGTTCAAAGTAAACAATATTCATATCATTGTGGAGATCCGTGATTCTTCCTAATATGGTATCAGAGTCATGTCCTAAACTTAGTTATACCATTGGAATCCTCAAATGTCGAACAAAAAGTATTGTTAGCCTCGTGGACAGTCAAAAAAGTGACTAAAAGTATCGAACAAAGACTCTAAAAGAAGAAAAAAAACAGTCGAGCCTCGAGGGAAGACGTACTTTGTTGAGTACAACATCAGCTAAGGAATGATTATGGGTTTATATATAATTAAGGAATATTATCTAAATTGGTATGAGGTTTCTTGGGAAAGCCTAAAGCAAAGTCATGAGACCTTATGCTCAAAGTGAACAATACATACTATTATTGTAGAGATACGTGATTCCTAACATCCTCATCGTAGAAATAGCAATTTATGAGTCCTATTCATCACGTGGTTGAATTGTGTAGGCTTGTAAGCACTCAAGGAATTGACGTTTCTGGAATTCGTAAGGTTCCCCGATTCTCCATGGATCGATGCTAAGGACTGCAACATTGTAGCATTGTACGAAGACGGTAAATTAGGGTTCGCTAAACTTCAGGGGAACAATTGTATGCTGTTAACTTGAAATTTAAAGTGGTAGAATGGAATATCTTTGAAAATTATAAAGATAAACAAGAAATAAATTTCAAATTAATACTATTAATTGTAACTTGATTTCACCCAAAATACAATTACTATTTGACATTTATTATTTGGAAATTAATCATCTGTACTCAGTTTTTAATTGGTATTTAATCATATTTAATATATTTATAATTAGGAGTAATAACATTTCTAGCATATTTAATATGTAATGAACCTAATTTATAACTACTCTCCACTAAATGTTCAAATCTTTCATAAATAATATAATGTTTTTATTGCTTCTCTTTCTTTATATATATATATATATATATATTGTTAGCAAAAATGTATTTCTTTAAACATTAATAGTTAATAATAAATTTAAGCCGATTTTTTTTATTATCAAATTATATATATATATTATATATAAAAGAAAATAATAAATTTACGTTTGGTCCTATTATTTGAACTTAATTTGTATTTAGTCCACAAATATTCGTAATTTAACATTTTAGGCCTTCATGTCTTAATTTATATTATAAAATTTTCCCTTCTTCTTCTTCTTCATCTTCTTCTGCGTCCGCCGCCGCACCGCCATGTCGCAGGCTTCCTCGCCCTCTTTAATTACCTCCATTTCTCTCTTTCTTCTTCCCAATAACAATAATCTCACGCCAACGTATATCTTCAACTCATTTTTATTTCTAATCTATGTCTTTATTTACGTCTCATTTAATAATCTAAGCTTAAGTTTTTGTTCGCAGGGGGAGGTTGTTGCCGATAACGGATTCTCTGCAGCGCCGCCGGAGATACTCCGGCGTCAGCCATGAACATTGGAGCACCAGGTAAACAAACGCGCCTTCCAATTTGTGTAATGAAATTCGAACATCAATTAATGTGTTTAAAATTCTAACTAACTTCCAATTTCATTAATCCAAGTCGGAATGCTATTCTGAGAAAGCCGGTGCAAGCCACGGCGGTTCCGACGTCGGTGCCGGTGCGTGTAGCTCTGGAGCTTCTTCAAGCAGGATATCGATACTTAGACGTAAGAACGTCGGAAGAGTTCAGCGCCGGGCACGCTCCCGCCGCCATTAACATCCCTTACTTGCACAGAGTCGGATCGGGTAATTTTCTGTCCGATTCTCAAAATTTCTCTCCACCAAAATTGAAATTCGAAGATTTTTAATGAAGATTTTTTGCAGAGATGACGAGGAATCCACATTTCTTAGCGGAAGTGGCGATTCATTTCAGAGAAGATGATGAAATCATCGTTGTAAGTTTGGTTTCATTATGAAATTACATTATGAATCCTTTTGGGAAGAAAAATTTGAAAATCTCGATGATCCTTAAAAATTGGAATCTGAATTTTGGTGGTTTTGTATTATCGGAAAGGGATGCCGAAGGGGGAAGCAGTCTCTTATGGCTGCCGCCGATCTTCTTGCCTCTGTAAGTCTTTCGGTTTTTCAGTTTTTTTTTTTTTTTTTTTTTTTTTTTTTTTTTTTTTTTTTTTTTTTTTTTTTTTTTATTCCTTTTTTCCGCTGAAAGGGAAAATTTTATTCTAATTTCGAAAATGCTAAATTAAATTAATAATAATATCTCTCAATGGTCTCTGTAATACTTTTAAATTTCTAAATTTTTCAATAATATTTTTTTAATTTTCATTAAAAAAAAAAAAAAGCTTAAAAATTGTTAATACTTAGCTTTTTCCCTTTTAAAAATATCTTTGAATTTTTTTAAAAAAAAAAAAATTAAAAATACTCTGCCATCCTTAATAACATTAGAACTTAACTTTTAAGTTTTTTTAAAAATTTTTGTTATGTATTTTTGAAAATTTTTAAAAAAAGTTTAAGGGCATTATCGTAAACGTTTTTATTAACTTAACCTTTAAAAAATATGAAGTATGAGGGATATTTGTGTAGGGATATAGGTATGTAACGGATATATCAGGTGGATATGAAGCTTGGTCTCGCAATGGACTTCCCATGGGAAGTTCTAAATAATCACCAAAACAAGGTCTTCCCCGACTCTTTTACCGCCACAATTTCATTCGATATACCTAAAAATAAAAATGTCGGTTTCTCACTACTCACATCGTCTTATAGAGAGACCATTCAACTACTCAAAAATGTTATGGATTCAAATATTTTCTTTCTCGGAGTGAATGATAAGGAAGCAAGCATGTTCGGAGATCTTTTATCTATCGATCACTGTGAATCTCAATAAACATAAATTTTATGCATCTATGGAGAGTTAATATAGTACAGGAACTAAATGATCAAATTAAGAGTTAAAAGTTAAAAAAAAATAATCAAATATAACGTTTCGGAGTTACTAATTAACGACGTTTCCTCCTATTTTCTTCAATCCAGATGATAAAACTAGTTTTAAACAGTTGGGTTAAAGAAAAGTACTTTGAATACCGTTTGTCAAATAAACCCAAATGATAAACGTTCGGCCAGTTGGACTGCATGAAACTAGGAGGTACAAACAAATGTTCGACTACACTTAAAACCAACCACAGTCGTCTTTAACAGCACAAAAGAAAGGTACATTGAAAGATGCCTCACCTGGAGCCACGAGGATACCTGCTATCCGGGCTGCCATACGGGGAGTAAGGAGGCGACCTGGAGTGATCCCTCCTTGATCTTCCACCATAAAGGGGGGAATGTCGAGGGGAGTACTCTCGAGTACCCCGATATGGTGAGCGTCTTGGAGACCGACGATAACCATAGTCATCACGAAGAGAGCCACCACGGTACCTTCCTCGATCATCACGGTAGCCTTAGAACAAGAAGGAACAAAACCAGCATCAAGGTAATGCATCAGGTAAATTACAATTCAAAGCACAAAGTATGTGACACCATCATTGCGAATTACTCAATAGGTTATGCTTACCAGAGTCTCTGGTGTTTTTCAACCCCAAATAGTGTCCAGGCGTTGGAGTTCTTGGCCGTTTCCTCCGTGACTGAAAGACAACAAATGTGTTACCTCATTTCTTTCGGTAATAACCCGTCAAATATAAATAAAAGGGTTCGATCGTATCGTTCATATTGTTTTCAATGAGCTCTTCTTGCAAAAAAAACTAGTTTTAAATTGTTGGCAGAGCATCATTATCAGTACGAAATATTCATGGGGGAAACTGGCCACCAAAAAAAGGATGCACTTGTGTTCAATGAATGCTAGGCATGAAATACCATCAAGCCTGATTAGAAAGTTCTTGATAATGTCCGTTGTTTAGTTGAGTTGAAAGTGAATGCTGATGTAGAAAAGTTGTTGGGCAATATATGTTTAGTTGTTCGGGCGCAATTGAAATCTGTTGTTTAAACTTGTCATTGACCAAGCTGTTTCACTAAAAGTTGACATGGATAAAGAACTCATCATCTCTGATTGCTGCCAATATAGCTGACACAACTTGTTCAGAATATAACCAGAAAATCTCCGAGTTAGGAAAAAATAACCAAATTACTCGAACGCTAACCAGAGAAGAATAATCATAGTACCTTCTCCACAGTTATATATCGACCTTCTAGAATTGACTGGTTGAGATGCTTAACACACCGATTAGCATCATCAACATTGTCCATCTGGACAAATGCAAAACCCCGGGAAATTCGTGTTCGTGGTTCAACCACAAGGAAACAAGAAGCTACCTGCAAATATTAGAAGCATTACAAAAGAAAGAATAAACCAACACACCATGACCAAGAAAACAAGTAATAGAAGAACTTTGGGCCATTTGTTAACTGATCCAATTGTTAGTTTTTCTATTTTTCTGTTTTTCGATACGATGGGATATTATGGATTCACAGAACTTGAGGTCATTTGTTATCTATCCAATTACCATTCCAATGTTCAAGAAATACAATAAATATGATCTTGCTTTATGTTGTATCGTTCGTTTTCGGATCACGAACCAAGTAGGTAAATCTCATATAATCATGCAATCAAATTGCAAGTAATTGGGGTTCAGAAGCTAACCTTGCCCTCCTTGGAAAAGTGTTCTTCAAGGTCTCTTTCAGTGACCCTCGCAGATAGACCGGTGACATAAAGCGTATTCCCTGGGTTAAGGGCATTCTCCCTGGAAGAAGCTAAAAATGTTATCCAAGGATAATCGAAACACTAACAACCTAAGCAGCAAAGGCATGAAATAGACACAATTCAAGTACTGAAACAGAGTATTGTTTATTTTTCATACAGAGTTCCAGCTGAAGAAACGCACCTCCCACGACTTCTGGACCTTGATCTAAATCAGAAACAGGTGAAACCATAAGAATGGGGTTCAAGTACCAAGTTCACCAACATAAAGCATTTTGACTTTCGGTTTATCCAAGTAATAAAAAACTATAAAAACCAACCTTCCACGACTTTGAGACCTTGGCCTTGACCATGATCTGGATCTAGACCTGGGCCTCGATCGCGACCTAGATCTAGATCTTGACCTTGAAGGAGCCCTCCAGGGGGAAGGAGATCGAGAGTGCCTGCATCAATTATTACAATAAATAATTCTAACATCAAGGATCTACTGGCACTAGAATTACTAAAATGAGTACATTCTGAAGAAAATAGAATGTTGTAAGTTCTTAAACTGCCAAGTTTCATAACATCGAAAACACACACAATCTCTTTCACCCATGCTTCCATTGAAAATGTTCTACTGTTTTATCAACCAACTTACAGACATCTGAACGGATGAAAAAAAAAATTCTAAAAATGCTCAAGACTCGTGGACTAATTATTCCCTTCATGGAGAGGGTTCAAAAAGTGTGATAAAAAATTCGACGGTACAAAAGATCATGAACGCTGCGACACAAATCATCCATGTGCCCTAGGTCCAGAAAACTCCCGAGATCGTCAATCGTAAGAAAAACAAATCATTTCAACAGAAAGTTTTTAAGCTCACCTTTTGCGATGAGAACCAGCCTGCAAAGAATCAGCAGCATTCGATTATTAAATATTCAATAGATCAAACAAAAACAACGATAAACAGATAAAGTTTAATAGAAACGAGGGAAAAAAAAAAAAGCTTACCATTTTCCACAACGAAATCAGAAGGCAAACAGCTAATGAGCAACACAGATACGGCTTCTCCACGAGCGGCAGCAGTCGCAAATCGCCGTCGTGGCTTGTGCGAGGAGAGAAACCTTACGGATTCGTGAGAAAAAATTTCGTATTGTTTCCAGAATTTTCCAGTACAATGTGCATATTATACTTATCGTGCACTCTCGCTTCTCAACCGTACATCACTGCATCTTCAAATTAGCTTATAAAAAATAAAATAAAAAAAATCAAATTATAGCCTAATTTTTGAAGTTTATTAATTAAATCTCTATATTAATAATTATATCTAAATTTTAAAAAAATTAAGTTTATTAATTAAATCTTTATATTAATAATTATATCCATTAAAATTAATGAATTAAACCTGGATGGATTAACGAAATAGATAGTTTAAAAATTATATTATAAAACTAATTAATTATTGTCATTAACTAAATAATAAATCAATGCATTTACTCTCAAAAGCTCGTACTAAGCTGAGCTGAAATCTCGCTCAATAATCCATGAACAACCGAAATTCCTAAATATCCGATTGAAAACCAAGTCGATGATGTCATTGTTCGATGATGAAAGTCGGCTAATTTAGAGAATGATCATGGGTTTATAAGTGAGGAATACTAACTCCATTGGTATGAAGCCTTTTGGGAAGCCCAAAGCAAAGTCATGAGAGCTTCCGCTCAAAGTGGATAATATCATACTATTGTGGAGAGTCCTGTTCGTCTAACTCTCATAAGTTAAAGAGACTGTAGTGATTCAATGGCGGTCCCACAAACTTGTAAATTTTTTATATTTTATTTCGACTAAAAATTTAAATATTTTCGAATAAATTAGGAAAAAATCATACATAATTTTCCAACAACAAATTGAAACTTTATTTGAAGCAAAATGAATGAAAACCCACAATATCCCTTATGCATACAATCAATGAACAGCAAAGAAAATCCCACCAGATAGCAAAACAAAGCAGAAAGCTATGTAATTTTCATACTTTTGGACAGTAAACTTGCCTACTCACTACTAAGGTATCGATTCTCTTCCCCGTTCGCCTGTTTCGACTCCGGTTCGAGAGGGTCAGTTCTACCAATGGCAACTACTTACAGAGCCGAAGACCAAACTTGCAGACAGCACCATTGCAGAATGAGCCTAAGTGGTCAGAACATCAGGAATTGCAGTTGAATGAGACCCTATTATCTTCCCCCCAACATCAGGGAAGTTTTCATATCCAGGCAGAGAGCTGACTTTCCCGTCACGGTCGACGAGCAACGGATACCTGAGAAGGTGGCCTTGCAATGTCGCGAATTCATCCGCTGTAAATATCTTCCAGTTATCCTCAGCAATCTTGTTCACTCTTCGTACACATTCCAAAGTTTTTGGCTCCTCAAAAATGGGATCGAGCATACCGAGATGCTCGCTCCATAACGACATTCTATACCCGTAAATCTGTTCATATAGTGATTAACAATGATGAGAAAACTAAGTTTTTGGCTCCTCAAAACAAGGATCGAGTATACATAACGATATTCTATACCCGTAAATCTGTTCATATAGTGATTAACAATGATGAGAAAACTGATATTGGTTTAATGCTAAGTTACTCAGATCAATATGCTTCATTTCCTGACGAAGAAACGATGACGATGTTGCAAGAGAAGGCGAGAAAAGGGCTAACCTGACCATGTGGGTGTTTCTGCTTCTTTGCCCACGTGTGATGCGGCTGATAGGCGCCGGTAGCTATCTCGGTATCCTTTGTCCCAGCCATAGATCTTTGGTTGATATTAGCAGACCCAATGATTACATATTCATCATCTACTATCATTCCCTTGGCGTGAACGTAAATCATAAACCGTTTATGTTTTAGTGAATTACACGCCTGAAATGTATGCATATTCAACAAAAAAGAGTATTAAAGTTATGATCAACCAATAAAAACTTGCTCCAAATCGAATGATATGTAAGATTAACCAACTGGGAAACAATGGATCTCGTGATCATGAAACGTACGATCACAACAAAATGAGAACAGTCCCGTCAGACGAGGCCAATAGGTGGGAAGAAAAGGAAAGAACTCGACATTAACGACATGGACTTTTGTAAACACAGCTTCATTTTTCGAAAAGTTACCATACCGTTGCATTGTCGATGTTGGGTCCATTTGCAGGAATTTCTTCGCGTTTACCAAGACAGTAGAAATTTAGATAGTCTTGAGGGTGCAAATCTGGTTGCTCTGATGACTTTAGTTCACTTGCAACAATGTCATACATCATTTGCATTGTTTGTCCCTGCGATCAAAAAAATAATATGTAAATGTTTAAACCCAAAGTTAATGAAACCCACTGCTAGCAGATATTATCCGTTTTGATCTGTTATGTATCGTCGTCAGCCTCACAGTTTTAAAACGCGTCCACTTAGGAGACGTTTTCACACCGTTATAAGGAATGCTTCGTTCCCCTCTTCAACCGAGGTGGGATCTCACAATCTACTCCCCTTGAGGGCCCAGCATCCTCACTGGCACATCGCCCGGTATCTGGCTCTAATACTATTTGTAACAGTCCAAGCCCATCGCTAGCAGATATTGTCCGCTTTGGCCTGTTACGTATCGCCATCAGCCTCACGGTTTTAAAACACGTCTACTAGGGAGAGGTTTCCACACCCTTATAAGGAATGCTTCGTTCCCTCTCCAACCGATGTGGGATCTCACACTTAGCTAGCTTGTTTAATGGTCTAGTACATCACATTCGATAATGGATACAGTGGAAACCCGAGCCTGTAGTCAACGTTTCACATTTAATCTATCCAGATTCTATTTCAGATAGCGATTTACCTGCCAATAAAGAATCTCTTGCATGGCACCGCTATTCGGATCTCCCTCGGGCCACATTGGTATAACAATATATACAACAAATCTTTCCCTGGCTCTAATTTTGCTCGCAATTTTAAGGGCCAACTCCATGGGAATGAGATGATCAGCCCCTGTTCATGCCATAAATCCAGAAATGTACAATATAGAATAGTGGATATTAAAACTCTAGAACAGAACTTGGAAGAGAGACTGACCAGCATTTTTATATCCTGGCCATCCATACGACGATCCGATAAAATACTGATTTTCGATATAAATGAAATGTTGCGCCGATCTGATAGCCTGGATATATGCCATTTCGATGCTTTTCTCTATAGCTAAGTTTTTTGCACATACAAGATTCTGCAGCCACAAGCAAACGACATATCGACATCAAATTGATATTCTACTAACCAAAATCGAGAGTAGTGAAGTGAGGACCTGCGACACGGCAAGATGAGCATCTTTTGGAAACCCTTTGACTGATCCAGAGTCGATGGATCGGAAAATCTAAAAAAGAAAAAACAAAATATAGGCATGGATTTAATAAAGAAATGAAACCCATAATAAGAAAACTCATAACAAGGCCATAAGTTGTATGAATTCGAACCTGAACATGCCAGTTTTCGGGATCTTCTTCCTTCGAAACATATACATTAGGTTCATCGTCTGGAACTTTTGTTGAACCATCCGGTAACATATTTAGTTTAGGGCTTAGTATCCATGATATGCGTTCTATCTTTATTAAAGCATCATGCCAGTGATTAATTCTCCTGCACCGTAGGCCAAACTCTGTCCATCTTGTGGCTTTGTTCCAACGTTGCTCAAAGTTCATAAGCAAGTCGTATGCAGCTGGCCCATCGATCCGACAGTGCAAGTCATGCCATGGTTCCCTTGGACCATTGGTTCCAGGCTAGTGTGTTTCATCCAAAACAACAAACAAAAACAATGGTAATTGTCTCAAGTTCTTAACCGCCCAGAAGAGAAAAGCATAATCAAGTATCGAACTGCTTTATCGAAGTAAAATTGTCGTTTAATTTTACTCACAGGAATTGCAGGATTGTGAAAATCTTCCTTAAATACTGTGTCGAGGTCACGAAACAATCGATGCTCAGGTGTATCGTAACGACCATCACAGAGATCAAGACCTCCAAGAAATGCAGTTATCTTTCTATTATTACCATATCCCTGTGTATCAACTAGGACACACTTTTGATGGTGTGTGAAGACAGTTCCTACAACCTGGATAAGAACAATACATGATCAACTTCCAATAATAGCTCAGTCAATCACAAAGAAAGTCATTCCATAGAATTATCGACTCTCCAAAATAAACAACAACGGTAACCGTCCAAGTCCTCCGTTATCTGATATTATCCTTTTGAGCTTTCCCTTTCGGGCTTCCCCTCTAGGTTTTTAAAACACGTCTTTTAAGGAGAGGCTCCCACACCCTTATAAAGAATGTGACTATCCCTTTTGAGCTTCCCCTCAAGGTTTTTAAAACGCGTCTACTAAGAAGAAATTTCCACACCCTTATAAAGAATGTTTTGTTTCCCTCTCCAACCAATGTGGGACCTCACAATCCACTCCCTTTTGGAGCCCAGCGTCCTCGCTGGCACACCACCTGGTGTCCACATCTCTTCAGAGTTTAACCTCCTCGTTGACACATCGCCCAATGTCTGGCTTTGATACCATTCATAACAATTCAAGCCCACCGCTAGTAGCTATTGTCCTCTTTGGGCTTTTCCTTTCGAGCTTCCCCTCAAGGTTTTTAAAACGCATTTGTTAGGGGAGAGGTTCCCACACCCTTATAAAGAATGCTTCATTCCCCTCTCCAACCGATGTGGTATCCAACAATCCATCTCCCGTCGGGGCCCAACGTTCTCACTGGCACTCATTCTCCTCTCCAATCGTTTCCACACCCTTATAAAGAATGTTTCGTTCCCCTCTCCAACCGACGTGCGATCACACACTTAAGACCGGGGGGGAGGGCAAAATAAAATGAGTATGCCTCAATTACATCAGCCATGAGGTTCAAAATAAGTGATAAATCGTAGCCTCCTCATCTTCCCCCCTTGGCACAGGGAGGTATTAAACCCATACCTTTTGTTTCACATAGCTTAGCTTGCCACTCGGATAGCGAGGCGAAAGCACACAGATAACAGAAGAATGCTTGAAAAATTTGTAGGTTTCCTCGTCATGCGTCTGCATCAATCCTTCCTGCAACCGATGATGATTACATTTTACAATCAATTATTCCAACCCGTCTTATATAGAAGAGTTTCGAGCAATC